CAAGAGGGGGGATGGGGACGGCAGGGAGGGTAAAAAAAAAAAAATAAAGTTGGGGGGGGGGAAGTTGGTTGTTTGGTGCGGGGCGAGCAAAGGCACCGGGGGGGGGGGGGGGGGGGGGGGGGGATTCAAGATACACTAACGGGAGGTAATAGCGATCGGCCCGGAAATAGCGTCAGCGCCCAACTTGTGGGTACTGAAAGTAGGATAGCCCTCCAGACAGCCCAAACATTGATTAAGGGGGAGACACAAGGGAGGGTCAGAGTTATCTTTGACTCTGGAAGTCATAGATCTTTTGTGGCTCTCAACTACGAGTTGCCCGTAGAAAGAAAGGAATGGATCATGATTAGTACCTTTGGCCAGAAAGGCAAAGAATCAGCGTCGCGAGAAGTCGTACGTTTTGACATAAAGCCTCTTCATGGCGGTCGTGTGCAGGCGCTCGAAGCTTATGTCGTGCCGGAAAACTCAGACATAAGCAACGAGCATGTTGAGGTTGTCAAAAACGATTTTCTGCACTTGCGTGACCTTTGGTTTTCTGACGTCTGTCAATCTAAGGAAGAGCTCGAAATCGACCCGCTACTAGGAGTGGACTACTTGTGGGGATTTCAAAGGGGTCGAACGGTACGGGGGGAGTCGGAGGAGCCGTTCGCGATAGAAACTGAACTGGGATGGGTGTTATAGGGTCCCCTAAAACGGCGATATGAATTTAGCGAAGCGAGTGTTCAGGAAGTGTCAGTAAATTTCGTATCGCAAGACAGTGCAGATCTAGACAAAGCTAGTTTTGACCGTGAAGTTAGCAGATTGTGGGATCTAGAAAGTTTAAGCATAAAAAGTAGCGACGAAGCGCATGAATCCTTCGAGAACGAAACAGAATTTTTAGAGGGGATTTACTCAGTCAAGTTTCCATGGAAACTAGGACATCACTCCCTTCCGAGTAATTTTGCAAACAGCGTGTCGCGCATGAAAGGTCAGTTGAAGAGACTAAAGTTGTAACCAGAAGTTTTGAACGAATATGATTCGATCATAAAGGAACAGCTGAGCGCAGCGGTGATCGAAAAAGTGTCCGAATTGGAAGAGCTAGGTGAAAACGTCCATTATTTACCCCACCTGCAGTTATTCGTAGGGACGCAGAGACCGGGGGGGTACTCCCATACATTACCTATACGGGTATGTGCCGCCCAACGGGGTCGTGATTTTAAAGCTCCTGGTTTAGAAAGGGGTATCTATTTCAGAGGCGTTTTCTAGAACGGGGTATAATATTTCGAACGCATGAAAGCTCCAGTTTTGTAAGCAACCATTTGAAATTATTCAAGGACAGATTGCTTTTAAAAATACGGCTCAATGCGTTACTGAAGCAAACTGTTATACTCTTGTTGCACCCTAGAACGGAGTATAAAAAATTGGCCTATTTCTAGAACGGGGTATCAGTTTTAGGGCAAATTCTAGAACGGGGTATAAAAAATTGGCCCATTTCTAGAACGGGGTATCAATTTTAGGGGAATTTTTTTTAGAACGGGGTGCCAATTTGGAGTCCCGGGCGGCACATACCCACCCAAAAAATACCCAAGTGGCCCCCCCCCCCCCGGGCGCAGAGACCACGAAACTAAGGATTGTCTACGACGCTTCGTCAAAAGAAACTAAGAATGGGACCTCCCTAAATGACTGTATACATACGGGGCCATCACTGAATCCCTTATTAGCTGTGGTCGCACTACAGACTTTTACCTAGGTAAAACCGATTTACCTAGGGCAAATTCATCAAAAATCTCCCAAGGTAAATTCATCTCGGGTTTTGCTTTACCTTGGTAAAACTTCTGGGAGGGTCACTCTACTGATATGGGCTCCCAAAGATTTCACGCCAGTTGAATTTTTTGGAGCGCAAATTCAAGACGGCAAAATGCGCAGGGATGTAGCTGATCAAAGAGACGTTTTTTTTCTTTTATCTCGCTGTTATTTTTACGCTAATTCAACATGCAAGGTGAAGAAAGGCGAAGACGTAGACGACTCGTGCCCCAAACATTTCTTTCACCGTGTGAGCTATGTCCGGCTCTGTCATCAAGACCTTCGCCGATGAGCGTCTATTGGCTAGCAACTTCGGCATTTAAGTTTCCCTAGACATTAGTAGTGGTTACACACACCTTGGGTTTGGGGTCTTCCAGAGGGTAAATGGCTTGGGTTTGGTTTAGCTCAGGTTTCACTTTACCCTTGGGGATGCGGTTACACAGTAAAAGACACCCCTCAGGGTAAAATATAATTAGATATGAGCTAACTGACCTTGTGAATTGGCGGGAAAAGTGGAGATCAACATGGATGACACGAATCGAGATCTAGTAAGCTTAATTTCAGTGATTCTCCTGCTTATTATTCGACAGTCTTCCATAAACATAACAGTCCAGCAGTTTTTTGCGAGAAGACACCGAAGAAGGCGCTTTCGATTACGCTACCTGCAAGGTTTGTCGGCATTGTATTTAAATTTACGAGCTCGTCGCCAATTTGCTCGCCGGCCTAGAAGAGCTTGGGTATTTCCACGACCACAGAACTGGTTTCAGGAACTTCTAAATAACAATGCACTGGATCACTGGTGGAAAGAAAACTTTAGAGTTTCGCGCGATACCTTTGAATATATATGCCAGCTCGTTGGACCGGCGCTCCAGCGGCAAAACACTAGGATGCGAGATGCCATTCCAGTTCCAAAGCGCGTCGGTGCAAGCCTCTGGCGACTAGCTACTGGAGAGTGCTACCGCTCGTGTGGACTGATGGTTGGGTTGGCAAAACCGACTGTTGTAAAGTGTTGCCATGAATTTGTTCAAGAAATATGCCGACTTCAAGATGAGTTTATCAAATTTCCTTCTACTGCAGCAGAGATAGCTAAAAAAATTAAAGGCTTCGACAATAAAAGTAAATTACCTAATGTAGTTGGAGCAATAGATGGAAGCCATGTACCTATTAAGGCCCCGAAAATTAACCATGAAGACTACTTTAACCGGAAACATTTCTACAGTTTTTTAGTACAGGGAATAGTTGATGCCTCTGGCCTCTATTTATCCGTGGCCACTGGTTTTCCTGGAAGTCTACATGATGCTCGGATGCTGCGTTTAACTGACGTTTATTGGGCTGCTGAAGATGAGAATATCCTAATGGAACCTACATTTGACTTAGGCGGAACTGTAGTGCGCCCACTTATCGTGGGAGACACTGCTTATCCAAACAAAACCTGGCTCATCCGACCATTTAAGGATAACGGTGGGCTTACGCGCGACCAGAGGAATTTCAACCGAGAGGTATCCAAGGCGAGAATAGTATCCGAACATGCATTTGGTATGACCAAAGGAAGGTGGAGGGTATTACTTAAGCGCCTAGACGAAGACAGTGACAGAATACCGGACACTATCATCGCCTGCTGCGTGCTACAGAACATTTGTGTTTTACGAGGAGATGAACTTGACATAGATGATAGTGATGATGATGATAGCGATGATGATGATGATGACGACGGCGGCCCCCCCTCCCAGGCTGCAGCTGCGGTTCTACAAGCCCTTGTTCAATACGTTGCAAATCAATAGACATATATCCCCTTGATTTTGTCCTCTTTGCGTCCTAAATTATAGAAGGTTACGAAATAATTATATTTTGCTTTGCAATTTATTTAAGCAATCATATATCTGATCCCATTGATCCAAACCTGAAAGTAACACCAGATTGAATAAATATGTATATATATATATAGTAATATAAAATCAATCAAAAATGGTGTAGAATTTTACACGGGATAATTACAGGAAATATAAAAATTCTGTTTGCTAAACAACTGTAACGTCTATTATACTTAAGAAACAGCGGTTGTAACCATTTTACAGCACTGTGTATTTTAGTGTCCAAAATACTATTCAAGATCAATTAAAATTTCTTTTTGCAGTTTTGCAACAATCATGTAAACAGTTCCTTTTTTCTTTGGAATAAAAGCGCTGAGTTAAACCTATTTTTTGGAAGCAAATATGTCTCCGAGTTTTCCTAACACAGACACAACAAATTCTTGGTGTTGTCGCTGCGCTTCTGCCTGAGATTTGAGGAGAGCTTCAAAAACTCTCTCGTCATTCTCTTCGGATCTTTGGATGGCTTCTTGCTGTGACTTCATCATGTCAAGGATTGCTAGCTCCATGTCATCGCCGCTAAGCCTTTTCTTCTTCTTTTTTGGTCCTTTTTCATCCTTTTGCCCAGTTTTTCCAGTTGTCTCTGCATCCGCACTATCTCCTCCAGCAGAGCTGGGCGGCCGTTTCTCTGGTTTCTTACTGCAATCTTGATTTCCGGTCGATAAAATATCGTCGGTATCATCAGAGCTACAATCCTGTCGGTGGGCTTTCGTTTCCTTGACAAATCTTGGATTCACTTTGTCTGATGAAGCCATAAATTCGTCGATGTCTTCATAGTGCTTGAACGTTTTCCGTTCCCTTCCCGTGCGATTGTTGTTATCACATACGCTTTTGTATTTATCCAAGAGCGCCCGCCACTTCTCCTTTAACTGCGCTAATGACTTTTCAGATTCCACGCCATTGTCAAAGCACATACTTTGAAACTGCTTCAAAATATCTTCCCATATTTTTTTTTTCGCTTGACTGCTTTTTGTAGACTTAAGTCTATCGTAGTACTCCTTAAAAGCGGCAATTAAGCATCTCTCTTCGGTCAACGACCAGCTACTGCGCTTGTTACGATCGTCGCTTCGGTTCGAGGATTCACTTGGAGTTGGACTAGCGCTGTCCCTGTCTGGTTCAAACTGAAGGTGATTGCTAGTACCGGGTACAGGGTTCTGGCAAATCGGGTAGGGATTTAACATCGCTGGATAATGCAGTGGAGGCTGATTTTGAGCCATGCTAACACCATACAGGCTATTACCGGTGTTGTTGATTCCCTGCGGCCTTGTTTGATTTCGTGCCGCAAATAAATACCCGTTGTAATAGGGATCTTCATTTTGACTAGCGTTCCTATAAACAGATAAACAGAAAGACTATAATTTAATCAACTTCGTAACTGGCAGTCTGAAGGGCAAACTCATGAAAATAAATAAAGAAAGAAATACTCACAATGATGCACGAAACCCTGCCATGTTACCTCGTGCTAGAAGTAGGCGCGAAATTAGCCAAGTGCTTCAGAGGTCACCTCAGAGCGCCTCACGCAATTTCCTGTATTAGCTGCGTTCTGCTTTATGATTGGCCAAGCCACCTCAGGGAGCAGATAAACCGTACTTTTCAGTTCAGGAACTGTCATGGGAAGTTCTTTTGTTCTTTTTGATGAATCCATGGAAATAACCCTAGGGCAGTTTCGGTCTGGGAAAAGCGGTTACACACAAAAAAGTCTTTTCCCGTGGGCAAACGCTATTTACCCATGGGTAAAAGGGCTAGTATAACCACGACTATTGCTTTGGGGTAGCTGTCAAGGTAAACTCTATTGTTTTCGAGACATATCCAAGACCCAGACGATAAAATTAATTAAGTTACCTAGGGAAAAATCGGACACACTTAAAAAATCAAGTTTCCCTAGGTAAACTGTCAACAAGTCGTGTTTACCTAGGTAAAAAGTCTGTAGTGTGACCACAGCTATTGTTCGATATTCTTGTAAGGTTTAGGGAGAACAAAATTGCGCTAGTGGGGGACATTGAAAAGGCATTTTTGAATGTAGCTGTGGATCCAGAAGATCGCGATAGTTTGAGGTTTTTGTGGGTTGAAGACGTGCATCACAGTAACTTGAGTGTTGTAGGTCTTGTAGTGTACAGGTTTTGTCTCGTCGTTTTTTCACCCTTTGTTGAATGGTACGATAAGACACCATCTGGCTACCTATGCAGAAGTAGACCCTAAATTTGTCAAAAGAATGATAGAAGGATTCTATGTAGATGATTTACTGACTGGGGAACGAACCGTTGATAAAACCTTCACCCTTTACAAGAACGCAAGGGAGCGAATGGCCAACTCAGGCGGGATTTACCCTGAGAAAGTGGAAGACCAATGACCAAGGACTAAGGGAAATGACCCCGGGAAATGATCAGTGCATGCGAGAGCAACAAAACAACCCGGGAAGTGGGTATACTCGAGGAGGAGGAGACTTATGCGAGGTCGAAATTAGAACCCCCGGGTGGAACAAAGGGAGAAAAAGTGTTGGGTGTAGCTTGGGATTGCGAAGGCGATACTCTTCATTTCAACTTTCAGCATATAGCCGACAAGGCTAAGGGGTTGGAAGCAACTAAAAGAAATGTATTAAGTCTACTGGCAAGTTTATTTGATCTCTTGGGGATAGTTAGCCCTGTCACCGTCAATATGAAGGTGCTTTTTCAAGAAATTTGTAACAGCAAATTCGATTGGGTTGGGGTTTTGACGGGAGAAATTAAAAGAAAATGGGACAAGTGGGTCCAAGATTTAGCAGAAAATAAAGAGATTCGTATGCACAGATGCCTTTATGAGACCGGAGGAGGGGATGTAACAGAGTGTTTATTTACATGGGTTCGGCGATGCCAGCATGAAAGCCTATTGTGCCATGGTTTACTTCGTGTACCGCATGAGATTACTAGCCAGCAAAACTAGAGTCGCCCCTCTAAAAGAACTTTCGATTCCGCGCTTAGAATTGATGTCGGCGAGACTACTTGCGCAGCTCATGCACACAGTGAAGAACGCGTTACAGTCACAAGTGAAGTTGGATTGCGTGAGGTTCTGGCTGGACAGCAAGACAGCTCTCAGCTGGATACAAAACAAGGGCGAATGGAAGCAGTTCGTGCGCCACAGAGTTAGACTACGAGTAGTCCCCCATTTTTCCGCAGGGATAGTAGAGTGAGCGAAACGCCAGCGCGCGTGAAAATTACGTGTCGCCTTTTCTCGCGTGGGGTGATTTTCACGCGCGCTCGCGTTTTGCTCACTCTACTATCCCTGAGGAAAAATGGGGGACTACTCGTAGTCTACTATAGTACGTGTGAACGAGATTTTGAAATTGACTGACAAAGAAGATTGGGCGTACTGCTCGACAGAAGAAAACCCAGCTGACCTTGGTTCCAGGGGAGGGTTAGCCTCGCTGCTAAAGGGAAACCAGCTTTGGTGGCGCGGTCCATCATGGCTAACAGAACGACCAGAGGATTGGCCAGTGTTGACAGAAAGCTTAAGAACCCCAGAGAGCCTGATCGAAGAAAAGAAAAGCGCGGATGTAATGATGACAAAGGTGGAAATTGTGAGTGGTATTGCCGGTATGACTGACCTGAATGACTATAGCACGCTACAGAGACTAGTCAGGGTGACAGCCTGGATAAAGAGACTCATTGACAACTCAAAAGCAAGGGCAAAGCAAAACGAGAAGCGAACCGGAAAATTGGAAGCGGACGAATTGAAATGCGCCGAGATTGAGTGGCTGAAGTCAGTCCAAAGCGATTTAAAGCAGCAGACTAATTTTAAGGAGCTAGTTAGTGAGCTTGGTATTAAGGAAGACAGAGCTATTTTGAGAGGCGAGGGTACACTAGTTAATTCAGATTTAGAAAGTGAAGCTAGGAGACCCAGGGTAGGAACAAGGTATATGGGATCAGGGATCAACAGTAAAAAATGGGGTGGGATCAGGTATCACAGCACCGGGATCTGGGATCACAAGCCGTGGGATCCGGATCAGCATTACTGTAAGGATATCAGGGATCCGGTTTTCCGGCATGACAACAAAGACCACAAAATTCTGAAATGTGCCTTAATTGGAGGAGCCTGCCGACATTTTTCAATTCAGTTGAATTTTTTGCTGTAACATTTTGATCCGGTACTAAACTGTTCTAATGCGATCGGATCTGCTGGACTAGCTTGTCTGCAAAACGTGTGGATACTTTCCTTGAAATTAAAGATATTTATCTTATGTTGCCTTTTTTAGCACATTACTTATTCTATTCTTATTGACCTGTTGACTCAGTTTGTTGGAGCTAAGATGATTGAGATAAAGAATTGGTCACAGTCTTTGCTTGCCGAATACGGATTCTGGAAAAATTTACATAATGGACATTGCCCTTTACCAGAGTAACTAATTTCCCTCTTTCTAAACCTATCGTGTGGTGATGAAACCAGGCATCCTAAGCACATATTTAGCAAAGATGTCTTAAGAGGCGCAGTTCATTTAATTGACAAAATCCTCGTATCATTTGATAGCACTTTCTTTTTGCACTTGGTACTTGACACTTTGCATGTTTTACTGACGAGCCTCAAGAGTTCATATAAATATGGCAGCCTTTATCAGTACCAAAATTCCTTTAACAGATCCCAAAAATATCATTCAAAAATTCACTTTCAAGCCGCTAAATGCAAATTAATTTCAAATGTATAGGAGCTAGTGTCATGAAAGATATAGCAAATTGATGAAGCTTGCGGCTCTGATAAAATATTCTGCTGGGGGAAGATCAGTGATAAAAGCCTACAAGGCTACTTGGCCCGATAGTCCAAAATCCAGGAAACACAATCCCTATAGTCTGCAAATAAATTGCTGCAAATTGTGAAGCCAAAATGATTCTTTAAATTTAACTGTCGCTAGACCTTTCAAGTTATATTAGCATTTTGTCAGCTGTTGTTGTTCAGACGCTAGCGACAGGGATTCTCTAATTAATCATCCTGGTCTTGTGGAATTCTGTTGGTACTAGTCGTTGGTCAAGCCAATCTTTGCCCAAAGAGATCTCGGTAGCGTAACATCCTTATACGAACATATACGCGTGTATGTACAGCTAGAACATAGAAAAATACTTTTTATATCCTGAAAAAGCATTTTTTTATCATTAAATCGGGAAGAAGGGTACATTTTTTGCACTATTGGTGTGTTTGTGTTAGTATTTCCTTTATCCTTTTATTATCCATAATTCTGACCGCGTCACTGGCCTCTTTTTTCCCATAAACACTGAATCAACACCAGAGATGGGTAAAATAAACAACTAGCTACTGCATTTTACTGCATATTAATTTACTGAAAATGTCCAGCAAAAAATACTAGAAATGGCATTTCTGAGACCCTAAATGAAAATAATTTCTTGGGGGAGTATGCCTCCAGACCACCCTAAACTGGGCCACCTTCATCGCTACAACTTTTCTCCCCGCGTACGTACACCTTCAGGCTACATACACTTGATGTTTTTTCTTGCTTATGCTGTGGGCGAATTGCGGAATTGATCACATTTTAAAAGAAAGGCGTAAATGACACGAACGGAGCACTAAACCAAAAGTTTATGACAGCTCTTAAGTGGAACGTACTTATGATAGAAATCATGATAACTCGAAAGAACAGACTGGAACCAACCTTAATTCTCCAGTCAGTAAATGATGTGACTAATTGTAAAAGAAATCAAAAAGAGAAACACTTTTTTTTCAGTTTTTATAAAGTATACGCAGTTAGTCCAACCCAGATTAAATCCAGGGATCAAAAAAATTCACGGGATCAGGGATCAAATTTTGCAACAATTTTAGGGATCAGGAATCAAAATTTAAGGCCTAAATGTGGGATCAGTTGGCAAAAAGTATACCTTGTTGTGACCTTGAGGAGACCAGTCATTTTGCCCAAACAGCACAGCATAGATTCTCAAGGTTGGTCATAGAAGAGTGCCATCAGAGAGTTCACCATAGTGGAGGTAGAGCTACATTAGCTGAGTTAAGGTTAAGATATTTGGTCCCAAGAAGTAGGCAAGTGGTAAAGCGAATTTTGAGTGAGTGTGTTACTTGTAGAAGGTTTACTGGGAAACCCTATAGTACCCCTCCGACTGCTGCGCTTCCTGATTTTAGAGTCAAGGAAGCTCCACCATGTTCGAGGGTAGGGGTAGATTTTGCTGGACCACTCTATGTAAAAGAAAAATCGGGGCAAATGGGCAAGACTTACATTGCGTTCTTTTTATGTTGCATGACAATAGCAGTGCATTTAGAGTTGGAAGAAGATTTGTCTACGGGAACGTTTAGGCGTCGTTTTCGAAGGTTCATCGCTAAAAGAGAAATGCCTGAATTGATCGTTTAAGACAATGCGAAAACATTTCAGGCAACCATCCAGAAGTAAAAGCAGATTGAGAACGAGACCGAATTAAGTGGAAATTTAATTTAGAAAGGGCACCCTGGTGGGGAGGATTTTTCGAAAGAATGGTTGCCTGTGGGAAGGGATGCCCGAGGAAAACTCCAGGAAATGAGAGACTGACATTCGATGAATTGGCAACTCTGTTAGCTGAAATAGAATATACACTCAACTCAAGACCATTGACGTACCAATACAATGAAGTGGGAGAAGAGGTTTTAACACCATCACACTTGATTTATGGAAGACGTATCAAAACACTTCCAGACGAGGTTGCTGTACCAGACGATGCGATTAATATCGATAATTGCTCTGCAAGATTTGAGTATCTCAGGACTAGGTTGTGTCAGGCAATAAATAGGTGATGCTTAACTTTATTACTTTGTGATTAAATATTAACTAGAAATTGACATTTGTAGCGCAAAGAAGTAGATGTCGTGACATTAGATTCACAATAATGTAGACAAAGTCCGATATAAAATGTTGTAACTTCATGCATTTTCTTAGGCTAAATAAGGTGAAAGAACGTGCGATTTTGTAATAGTCACTTAATTAAGATACATTACAATGGGAACTTTGACTGTACTTTACTGTGATTAATGTAAAAATACTGCCTTACGTAAGGATAGTAGGAAAAACCACTGAATACTTAAAATGTGTGAGTTGATCGTTGAGTTTGGTTAATCATTGATGGTTGTGTTACGACCGTTTAATATGTGAGAATTGTACATCGCAGTAGATTGTTGAATTGGATTAAATCGTGTTGTTACATCGAAAGATGCAGTCCTCTTGATTTGTTTGAACCGGCGAGCGGGGTTAAAAGAATTCCGCAACACCATCCTTCAGTTTCAGGTCGATATACATAGGACTGTATAAGACTCCAAATAAAACATTGTCTTGTCTTGTCTATAATATCGGTCCACCGCAGAGCAGTTCTTGCCTGGAATGGTGACTAATAACTTAAAATCAGCTCCCTGTTTTGCTTCGGCTGCGAGTCGGGCTCCAAATGTTGTCACGTGGGGTTCCCACGTGCCGCAAAAAATGCGTGCATGGTTGTGGCAGCGGGGGGGCGGGGGGGGGAATTTGGTCTCACTTAGGGTGTTCTGGGCAAAACGCCATCTTATTTAGGCGTGAAGGCCTCGGCTAGGGTTGCAGGTGAAAAAATATAAAAATATATATGTTGTCTGTGTTTCAACATGGTCTCTTTTAGGGGTCAAAAAAAGCTTGGGCCACGCCCAGATCGGTCTCCTTTAGGGGTTTTATTCAAAATTTCCGACGAGCATCCCCACCCCTTTCATATGCGGAGTCCCCCCTCCGGAGTTGTGGCCTCATTGTGGCAATCATCTTCATGCCTGCAGATCTTTCGAAGCGGTAAGAACTCAGAGAACTGGGCAATTTACACTTTGATGGGTGTGACCACGCGAAATTCAGATAAGAATGGCTGTCAGTGCCTTTGTAATAGACGAATGTTGATATGTGCTCTTCACGGGGAAATCGAATCATGTAAATTTCCAGGAGTTTCTCATACGAGATTCACGGGCAATCGCTAAATGTCCAGGAGTTTGTCACATGAGATAGACCACGTTTAAGAAAGCTTAGGATGGTAATTCGAAGCAAAATCCAGAAACTGCTATTTGCCATGTTCGCTAGAAGAAGTTGCGCCCGCTAAGTCATCCATATATCACTTATTTAGCTCGGGCCTCCTCCCGGTTTACTCTTCCAACATCCTCTCTTCCACGTAGCCTAAGAAGAGACAAGCGTTATTCGGTCCTAGCCTGCTTTCCATTGCCACGCCATCCATTGAGCTTGCAATATTCGCCCTTACACTCAAAGGTGTTTAGAGTCAGCACCGTTTCAGCCATGAGGACAAGAGTATTCAATTGGTATGTGGGTCTTTGTCTTTCCTCTTGTCTTGAAAATACCTAAGCGCCACCAGACCTTATTCATTGGAGAAATTAAGAATCGAGTTTAGGGCAAAAGGCAAACGTGAGATTCAAATTGAGAAACTTTCTCAATTTTTCAAAATGAGAAATGAGGAGAAATGAGCAGATCAAAACAGTTGAAAACAATTGTTATGGATAGAATTGGCGTGAATCTACCGATTTTCGAGTAGTTATAATGAGCGGTAAACGATAAATAAATGTAAAACGTGGTCACGTGGTACAAATTCACGTTTGCCGCATGTGGAGCCGCATAAACTTTACTAATTACGTTGAGTGACGGTTGCTATGTTCAATTTCCTGTTATAATTTTACCTCCGATCTCGTGCAGGTTAGCAGGGGTCAGACTGGTTGTCATCGATAGTGATTTTCACAGAGGCGATGAAACAATCCTAAATTTCGCAACTGTCTGGTAATATGGTTAAAACAGTATTAGCCGGGGTAAATATAGTCGAGCGCGGTCTATTCAACTATTCTCCGGATCGGATCATCCCGATCAAGCCATCATTGTATGGAGTATATGTGAATTCTTTTTTACGGTATCCCGGTCGAGAATTTCTGTGTTGATTCAAACTCATTTCCCTTAGAAGCTTGTTGGTATTTGAAAGAAAATTTTAACAGATCGAACAGGTTAGCAGAGTTCAAACTGAGATGGCCAGCCTTCGATCCTTCGTCACATTGGTTCAGAAGCGAGGCCATTTCAGCCTTAAATCAGTAGGTTTACCTTGCGACACATTAATTCTGGTTTTTTTTATGACTTGCTTAATCGTAAGATGCCTTGAAGGTAAGGACAATGTTCGATTTTTTTCCTTTAATTAATTTATTTCTGCCTCGAACATATCCGCGCCAAAACCTCCTAAATGCCCGCCAAATTTAATGTGGCGCGCTCGGGAGTGATCGTACAGTGTTTAGGAAGAAACAGGCCCAGCACAACTTCCACTGGAGGCAATTTTGTGTTACTGCAAGAAGTACCCTTATAAAGAAGTCGAAAAGCTTTTATTATTAATTTCGTGCTACATTTTCTGGATAAACAATGGAATGTGTTGAAAATTGTAGACATCAGTGTTTCATAATACACGTACACACTTAGCGGCCAATTGCTACATATTTTATCTTTTTACCGCTGTTTTGCTTGTTGCCGAAGTTTAAATGCTACATCATGATCCAGTGCGATTTATAGTTGTCGTTACCTGCTCAGATCTTTAATTTGTTTGAATTAATGAGAAAATTATCTTGTAGTCTGTAATTATGCGTAGTATTGCATTGTTGCATGCGTTCACTGCCTATGAAAACAATCGTTTTCCTAGTAGTATATTGGATAGGTCAACTGACTCCCGCTGGTGGCAAATTGTGCTACCAAACCATAAATAAGGGATATTCGAAGTATAAACTTCACAAAAGCTTTTGATTTTGATCAACAACGAAATGAGTGACTAAAACGCGTTAAAAATAACACATGCTCGTGTTACCCATACCCCTACCGTCCTAAATGTACTTCACAGAGAAGGGGTTGAGTGTTGCTCGTTATTTGTAAGTCTCTGAATCTTAGCAGCTTTCTTTTTCTTTTCTATAATTTTTACCGGGGAATCGAAATGAATTTTAGTTGATTGGTTGCGTCCATCGCGGTTCCCCCCTATTTGTTTTTCAAGAAAACACCATTGCAAGAACGCGTACGGTCTCTATTATGTTTCATTAACAGCCAGAGAGCTTAAATTCACCGAAACTAAAACAGATTCATAAAATGTACGTGGTTCAGGGTATTCTGTACGTGCCTTTTATGTTAGGTGTGTCGCCTGATTAAAAGCGAGCGATCGGGTGAGTCGCCTTCGCTTAGTGCAAGAAGACTTTGCAAAACGTGTATATTTAATATGATGCACTGTTTCGGAGTGATTTTTATTTCACCAGGTTCTTTTCTTTAGTTGTGTTCGTCTCATCAGCTCAGCTTTATTATTTCTGTAGTGTCTGCTAAAATGATCCGTTGAAAGGTATGTCGAATAAAGCTTCAGTAGGAGGTCACGAAAGGAGATTCGCATTTCACCTCAAGTATGGTTTCAAGCTGTCAACGGTCTATGCTTGGCTGAATTTAAACAATGGCTTCCTGGTCAGATGGGGGACAAATTTTCCCCCATATTTCGGTCGCTAAGGCTTGCGGCTCGCCATGTGAAATGCAATGCTTAATCTCTCCAAAAGTAATGACGGTGTATAGTCATTTGATGTCCGTGTTAATAACCAAGCGGAGCCATAGTGAACGATAAGTACAGGGAAATTGACGTTTGCCGCTTGCCATAGACCTGATTCTAAATCTATGTAGTGCTCTTTCGTAGCCAGTAGCCGGAGAAAAGAGCCGTCATTTCGCGTCGGCACAACTGGTTTACCCAGGAAATGACGTCTGAGGAACGTGCGCTGAAATTCCACACCGACGACGTGTCACTGCCTAGACCTGGGTAATACTGCTGTTTGGTTGAAGCAATTTTCCCATGCGGCACGACCAGGGAACGACCAATCATAAGTATTACCCAGATAGGGGAAGTGACACATCAACAGTATGGAATTTCTGCGCTCATTCGATCCTTAGACGTTATTTCACGGAGAAACCAGTGGTAGTGTCGCGAAATGTTGGCTGTTTTTTCAGGCTGCGTGCTCAGGAGCCACCATCACAAGTAAAATAGAGAGAGCAGGGAGCCATGAGAACGATGAAAAGGCGAATCGCCCAGGAAGAGTCAACATGATACAGCAAAGAGGAAGTTCCGATAGCTTATGAGCCCTACTCTAAGGAAACGTTACTTTTAGTTTAAGGTGACTCGACCCAGTTTTTTGGGGGGAGTACCATCCTACTTTGAAGCTCTCTGGTATCCCCGCCTTTACTTTTATCGTAAGTCTAACACATAGAATGGATAACATATACATCAATCTACAATATAACATAAAATTTTTGACGATCGGAGTAAATGTCACGTGGTTATAATGCCACGCCCCTTTGAGGTCTGAGTCGAAAATCTGCTGTTGCCGGCATTTTTTCGTGAAAATCTCGCGGCTACACATAGTGCGCATTGGTGCCTTGCGCTGAACAGAGTTTCACCGAAATCGCAAAGACCCAATTCGAGAAATTCAGCGGTTTCCAAATTTAGGTCATAATTTATGCGAAAATGATAAGCAAACTTTACATGGATTATATCTAATAAACTATGAGATTCATCTCTTTATTTTGGGCATTAAAATAAAAAAAAAATCCTTTGTGTGTTTTTTATAAATTGTTACTTGTGCAAATCTCTATTGTTCAGGGCTACTAGTTGGGCTTTTAATTTGTCAGGGAACATATTCACCCGATATAATTCGTTTTAAGAAACCGTAGTTCCGGGAAGTAGTCTTCAGATTTCACCAAGAATCTTGACCAAAAAATCCGCATTGTTACATATGCTTAGCCTGGCTGGTTTGAAAACGCAGAAGTCTACGACTAAGTGCAGTTGTGTAAAGATACTAGTGTTTTCAGGTTTACAACGCATCAGATGTAGGATCGAAGCGGACAAATAATAAATTTAGATGCTTTTGCCAGGTTCGCCAGCCGAATGATCTTATTTCAGCAAAGACACTTTTATATGAAAATGTCTATTGCATAATTTTATTAATTTTCTTTTTTTAAAACGTGGGAGGACACTGCTGCAACCCCCCCAGCCCCTCCCCCTGCGCTGGCCCTGACATAACGCTCTTTACTACCTTTATGCATTTAAAATGACAGTGAGGAAAAATAGTTCTGTTTTCAGTCACAGCCAGCCAAGGACGCCAACAGTGACATTTCACAAATGAAAAAATCATCGTTGGCGTCGTCTGATAGTTGACAATCACTCTTTCTGAGGAAACGCCAACTCGTGAATAAAATTCGTACGCGGTTACCAATCATGAAGCAATCTCATTTGCTCACTTATTAATCTTTGTACCTTGCTATGATTTAAGTTGAGAAAATTCTGAGTTCAAAGGAGTAATAACAACAAAACAGATTTTAACTTTTGCACCGGGTGGTGTACTTTACACCAGCAGAATTTTAAACTACAACCGTATCCCTACGTCACATTAATTTTTTTTACAAATATATGTATATCTATGAAGGCAATGTCAAGTATCTTAAGGTTAATTAAAAAATAGTAGAAGTTCTTTGGAGGTTTGTATTTCAAAACGTCTTTTCTACATTGCTGTAGGCATATCATTTCTGTGTTTCTTGGTGCTGCGGAAACCATTGTAGGTTCGTTTGTTTGTTGTGGTGTGGGTACAATTATGAACAAAGCAACCAATAAATTCTTTTTGTAAGCCTTACGTACGGAAGCCGGGCAAAGATAAAGCTTGCTCATCTCACCATCCAGAGACATTGCAAAACAGCAGAGGAACAACAGGCTTAAAGACACGTGGAACACATTCGCGCTATGTGATTGGCTGTTGTCTTATCTTCCTTGGGATCTGTGGTCTTAAAAATAACTCGAGACGAATTACCTATGGAATAGGGTGTGTATGGGGGATGCCTTCTCTGTCCCTTTTATCATCTCTTGTCAACATGTTATTACAGCTGAGAAGAAGCTCCGATACCTTATGAACCCTACCCTAAGGAAACGTTACTTTAAGTTAAGGGTGTAAGAAAAGAGACGAATGTAAGGAAAATAAGGGAGCCTTGAACCCGCTTGTGATGTCTGACCCTACACTAAAGTAGCAATCGGCACTAACTGCCGTGAAACGCCATTTTTTAAGTTGCCCAAAGAGAGGCTAAGTGCAAAGCTAATGGCATATATCTATCCTGAAACAGTACTTAACCCTATTTTCTATTTTCCCTCTTCATTTCCTACCAACTTGGCTTCCCTAATTCTTAGTTTTTTTACTTATGTGTCCGATCATCCTTTTTCGTTATGGAATCTAGATCTAGCCATCGAGTGAAGCGCATCCCCCCCATGATACCTCTTTACTACCTTAATGCACAGGGAGGAAAATAGTTCTGTTTTCATTCACAGCCAACCAAGGACGCCAACAGTGACATTTCACAAGTGAAAAAATCATCGTTCGCGTCGTCTGATAGTTAAAAATCGCTCTTTCTGAAGAAACGCCAACTCGTGAATAAAATTCGTACGCGGTTACCAATCATGAAGTAATCTCATTTTCTCACTTATTAATCTTTGTACCTTGCTAAAATTTAAGTTGAGAAAATTCTGATTCAAGACTAAGTTCAAAGGAGTAATAAAAACAAAAACAGATTTTAACTTTTGCACCGGGTGGTGTACACCAGCAGAATTTACAACCGTATCCCTACTGCACATTAATTTTTTTTTTAACAAATATATGTATATCTATGAAGGCAATGCCAAGTATCTTAAGGTTAATTAAAAAATAGTAGAAGTCCTTTGGAGGTTTGTATTTCAAAACGTCTTTTCTACATTGCTGTAGGCATATCGTTTCTGTGTTTCTTGGAGCTGCGGAAACCATTGTAGGTTCGTTTGTTTGTTGTGGTGTGGGGACAATTCTGAACAAAGCAACCAATAAATTCTTTTTGTCAGCCTTACGTACGGAAGCCGGGCAAAGATCAAGCTTGCTCATCTCACCATCCAGAGACATTGCAAAACAGCAGAGGAACAACAGGCTTAAAGACACGGTTGGCCATCACGAGCTGCTGCTGAAACGAGTTTGATTTATCTCAGATGAACACCTGTATAGGGATAAAAAGGGAACGTAAGCAACGACGAAGGGGACGCCAACGAAAACGGCCAATTAAAAGCAATAGGTTTAGACTGGCAAAACAACACCTCTGCACGTGCATCACGCTTTTTTGTACATTTGTATGTTTCTTTGCCGCCACTGCACGACTACGACGAGAAAAACTCTCATTTCACGTTTTGTGTGGGACGAGAACACAAGACAGTGACTTCCTTTTTCTTTTCCAGAACTTCGATAAAGTCTTTCAGAATTCAACTCCAGAAAAAAATCGCCAAAGGGGACGAATTGAACGAGATGGAATAAGCTCGATAAAGTTTGAAACAGTGCGAATTCACTTTTTAAAAGAAGTGTTTGAAGCCGTCGCTATCGATAGTGAGAACTGCAGCCTTCAAAGGCGATTACATTCGTTCTTGTGCTGAAGAAGAAACTACAAGCGAGCCCGTATCTTTGTTCAAATGCTTTGCCACTTTGGCATATGCTCATCACTCTCTCTGGTTAAGCGACTGAAATGGAAACTGTGAACATTGAAAGCTCATAGCAGAATTTAAGCTATCGCTGAAAATTTCAGCCACGCACACAATCAACATGCACTTTTCGGGAAAATTTGCCTGAAAATCTCATAATTTGTCAGGGAATTTACGGTTTAGTGATTTTTGCTTCCTGCATTTCTGCAGTTTTGGTGGCTTACGATTCTTTAACTATTGCTCAATTTTTATACAGCTTTATAACATAGCTAAGGTGCTTGCCCTATATAAGTCTTATTGAGTCGCTATGGTACATATGTGTATAAAAAACCTTAATACACGCATGGCCGTGCGTATACATGATGACGTGTTTAGTTGTTTATTGAACTCAGATTTCTCATCTCTTGGGCCCCGTTTATATGGACCTGCGGAAAGTCGAAAAGTCGGGCAGAAGGGTTACTCGTCCAGCCTTGTCAACTTTAGCGAGCGTTTGTATGAGAAGTTTGACCTCTTGGCTTGAGCCAACAGCGCTCGCACATGCTCTAAACAGCACTCGCGCATGCTCTGATTGTCTTACCTTCACCCACTTGACCGGGGTGGGTACGCCAACGTATATGGAGAAAAGTTGGCCCAAGTAGGAGGGTCACCCTACCATCACAAAAGGGTAACCCATCTTGGCGGATCACCCTTAATTCTAGCCGAGCCAACGTTTTTTTCTGATGTTAAAGGTTCGCCACGTCAACTTTTTATCGAAGAGTTGGCTTGCCCAGGGTAGCTCAGTTGGGCGGGTCAACCTTTCTCCATGTATAATAAACGGGCCTAACTTTGAACACAGTGTCCAATGATCAAAGACAATGATGGAGAATTATCAGCAATGGCGAAAATTTATGCACTGTAAATAACAGAACAATCCGAGGCGGGAAAATTTCCCTTGCAATAAGAAGTCAAACAAGCAGGAGAACTTTGCTTCTTGACTGAATTTGGTAATTTTTTTCTAAACAAATTACTCATGTTGCTTTGTGGTCTCGTCGAGTATACTTTTTCCCAAACTTGGGAACGCAGTTACTTACTACAATTAAAGGGGTTATGTCACTGACGTGTTTTTCGCATCAACTGGATTCCAAAAATAATGGTGCAGTTTTGTTACTTAAGACTGCAATTAGGTACGACAACTTTTTCCTGTCGTCTTTGTCACGGATGGCAAGGATAGAGATGGATTTAAACTTGAAAAATTTGGGCTACCTATTTCAAGTCGTGCTTTGCCAGCAAAAATTAACAAAAAAATATTATGGTCAGTCTCGCTGTTGAAATTTGTTTGACATCTTCTTTATGACTCTAAGAGACACGACAGGAGCATTTTATGTATGGGGTAAGGGAACTAATAATGACTTTAGCAAAAAACAAACCTAGACAGCAATATCCTTGTAACATTATCCTCCTTTAAAACAGACTTACTTTGCACGCTTGAATTTCAAGTCTCTTCCTTCGATAACACAGACTCCCTGTCTTTCATGTCACCACTGTTTAAGGAACATTGCAATCCCACCTCTTTGTTGTTCTTTACCATATCGACTGAGTCCTGCGAGTCGCTCAGGTGTGAATCTGTCTTCTGTGTGGCGACATTTTCTAACGTTAGATATAAGAACTTACAGTCAGTGATTAACAGTCTCAAAACGAGACCATAACGACTCTGACAATGACGACTTTTGGTTAGAAATTCGGCTAATTCGTCTTTGGAAAGCCGTGAACTCTTTAGCCGGTTTGTTTGAGTTCATTAATGCATAAACAGCTAGGCTGCCGCGCCGCTGCCTGGAAACGAGGTTGCGATCGTATCGATTGCATTTTGCCTGCATCTTCCAAATATGGTCAGCGCCGGCACAGTTATGATGAATTAGCTGGGGAACTAATAATTTAAGATTTTTAAAACACATTATTATTCATTCAAAATATCTGAGCTTTTGTTATGGTTATAACTAATTGGTAACAGAACTTCCTGTCGTCCAGTTGGCATGGGTCTGTAATTAACTCGCGATGAAACAATTTTAAGCACTCGCATGATTAAATACCGTATAGCACAGCGCACGAATGACGTCACAGTGACTAATTTGTAATGTTCGTCTGACTTTAACCATTTTTGTCATTTTGTTAGGCAAGAATGACATTTTAATGTCAAAACAAAAACAAATATTATGAATTCGCTGATGTTAATTTCAATTTGTGTTTGTTTGTCTGAGTTTCAGTTCCATTTAAGCAAAAGAAAACGTTTTCCGTGTTTGCATAGCCTGATATAAACACGAGAGGGGTTCGGAGAGTTCCAGACAGTCATGCAAACCCGACACTAAGGCGAGAAAAGAGCGAAACTCTTTGTTTAGGGCACTGATTAAAAGAGAAATTCTTACCTGACGCGAAATCTTGTAGAGGAAGCTTGTACGCCTAATCAGTTCTTGTTTTGCAAAAAGATGCTTTCCAAAAATACGGGTTTTTCTCGCTTAAGATGTCAGCTTACGCGAAAAAAAATTGACACAACATGTTTCCGAAGAATGGGTAAATAAAGTAAATGTGTCGAGTATTCAACTAAAAAACATTTTCAAATTTGTGCGTGCGTGATAAGCGCGAAAAGCAAAACATTTTGACGCCACAATTATGTTTACACACTCTTGTGCAAACACACCTCTCAGCCAATCAGAGCGCGCGTACTATCTTAGTTACTTTATAAAAATAGTTTCTGTTCGCAATGCTATTGGGCTCTACTCAGCCCTGTTGCCATTATTAATCAGAACTGTTAACTTGTGTAGGTAAATGTTCAGGAAAAAAAACCTCATTGACGGGAACACCTCATTAAACACCATACTCAAAAAGGACATTATACTGGTAAAGAAGTCTCGCTCGCTTTTCACTTTCTCCAAGGCCGGGCATTATGAGCTGGGAGGTCCTTACCTGTGTGGCTCAGATAGACTTCTTTTAACACTAGGATAATCAGTAAATTGAGTCACACAAAACTTGCCCTCACCTGTCTCCCTGAATGAATGACAATACTTGGTTGCCAATTCTGATCGTCTTACAATAGGATGCTGTAAGGCTTTAGCCAGGCACCCATACGATGCGGCGGGTCCGACTGTCTGTATCCACTTTTTTAACACAGCTGTAAATTGGACAGTGTGTTGAAAAGAGTTGTGTAGCGTTAATATAATGTTAATATAATGGCATTACAACGAAAAAGGACCGCTTGAAATGATCGTGAAAAATATAAAGTTTCTTGGCAAAATCCAACGGTAGGTAAAAAATAATTCTACTCGTTCACGGATGCATAGTTGACTGGCTGTAAGTTTGGATGTCTTCCACATTTTTGAATGTTGAACACCTGGATGGCAAAATTTGATCAATAACTGGCCAACTGATTCTAGACACTATAAGTTTCTACCTATCGAAAATAATCCTATTAATACCAGTTTGCTACAGCCTACACTGACAACAGTAAAATCAAGTAGGAGATTTTTGCACAGTTCCTGTGTTCCAAAGTATTCAATCGTCTGTCTTTTTTTTTCCTCCTACTTGTCTTCCGATGAGTAATTCATTCTTGCAAGAAAACCGTCCATAACAAAGGGAAAGTAAAAATTGCGCACAGGAGCATCATAAATACAAAAAGTGAGAACTGAAGCCTGTTTACTTCAATTTATCATTAACAGAGCCTCGTATCACCATATTTAGTCTGTAACCATACTCACGTAATGGGGTCTATTAACCCATCTAACTGTTATTTTGTACACACCGTAGCACTTTTCAGGCAAATGGCGCTCGTCCTCCTCGATCTGTTCTAAAACAGGTTCAGGAAGGCACAGGATTCTACCAAGCATCTTCCAGGAGCTACCAAGCCCTGAAGCAACCAGGAGAAGGTCACTGGACGATGGTACGCCAGACTTAAAAGACAGGGTACGATCCATCACTACTTTGTCTTCTACTGAGGTACTTGCTGCGAAGCCACCAACAATGTGGGGATCCAAGACTGGAGAAGCTGTTTCAAAGCAACCGTTCTAATTCACAAATTTATCATACACATCTTTAACAACACAAGGGCGTCCAAAATGATGTTACCTTAAGCCCATCAGGTCTAGAATACTTATGATTGTTCAATACAGTTAATACTTGTACAAACTAATAGGAAATTTGTTAGGGTTTTCTAGATTACAACTACAGTTGACTTTAGGCCGGTAACAAGCACCCTCGGTTGTTCAAATCTAGCGCGAACCACAATTGATTTCCACTAAATTTGCTCATTCCATACCTTTACTGTAATTGTACCTTCAGTAACCTGAACCCTCAAATAAAAACCGCCGCCCAGTTAGCTTAGTAAGAAGAGCGCCGGACACTTTAGCTGTAGGTCGCAGGTTCAAAACCCCGCTGGACCACGAGTCAGCCTTGATTTAAAAGTAAGACCATGCTGGCTGTGTTTTAAGACTTTTGACTCGTATCAGATGATCGCGTGTTTTAGGGGGTGATGGTAACGCCGCTG